TACAGCGGTCAACGCCGTTTGGTTTTACGAAAACTGCAACCCAAGCCATCACTTTCCTTGATCCCCGAGATTACGGGCGTGTCCTTGGGACTTTATGGCGCAGTCAGCTGCTGGGGCTATGTGGCGCCGCCAGCCTCTTACCCTGGCGGGAAGGGCGAATGCCACGGATAATCGAACCACGCACCTGTGGTTTCCGAGACGCACAGTGGTTAACTGCACTATCGGCACCCGGCGCGCAGGCTCAAAACATCTGATATCATTCGTTTCACTACTCGATTCCGCAAAATAAGAAACGCTCTCAGGGAAATATGGGATGGCCTTCTGCGTTCAAATGTATGTACATAAATAAATGTTTCGTAGGGAAACATGGGCCAATTCATGTCGACCCACTCCATTCAACACTAATGAGACCAATTATTTCTTTCTGGTAGAGCGGTTCTCTTGAGCAATACACTTCCGAGCACATTGTTGCTGACGGTCGAGGTCTGAAGGGCCGTTCCGTCCCACCGCGGTGTGTTTTCCAGTCGTCATCCTGTCGACACGGGGTGACATCCGCTGGCCGACCCGATACCTCTAGAGTGATACATCGTATCGCATTGTTCCGCTTCCTGACGCGGGAAGCCTTCTAAGCCGCGCAGTTAACCCCGGATAAACGCAGAGACCGTCATTGATGCAGCAACATCCCTGCTCGCCGCAGGTGATCAAATACTTCGCACACAGGCTTCAGTTGGGCTAACGGGGCCATGCTGAAATAGGGTTGCAGGGCCCACCATTCTGTACAATGGGCTCCGACTGGCGCAGGATTCTTCTATTGCCTTAATGTGAGCCAACACCATCATTTCTTACGTCTCCTTCAAATATCAGAGAGCCCTGACCAACGTAAGAAGCCTTATGTCAATCGGGCTCCCGTCCACGTCCCGGTTGAGCAAATCTTCCCCTGACCGATTCGAAACCCCTGATTGACACAGAACACCCTGTAAGGCATTGTGTGCCCCTGAACGATAGAGAAGCAATAATAATGTAAATCGCGGGTCCGGACTTGTTCCTGCTTGGGAAATAGGCCCCCAGAGCTCAGACCGACATGAAGCCGATCGTTCGTTGTTCGTTATCTCAGACCGAAATAGAAGAACGCTCTGCGTCAAGGGTCCCTGTCGGTGCACGAGATCATCTTACTACATTTGAGATTACGGTTCTATGAGCATGATGTGAGCTGCAGCCAGCCCTTCGGACCCTTCAGCTATCCCAGTGAGCCCTTGATCTTTGATCTCGAGAGATCATTCGGCCCCTCTTCGGACTCCCTCAGCCACCTCTCCAACTCGGGGCCACTTGCTGCCACAGGACCCCTGTTAGGCACTGTGACCTCTAACCGACACAGGAGCCCCTCATTGTGTCAAAGACCACGAACATTGCAAATAGCGGACCCCGGCTTCGTTTCTACCTGGGAAATGGGTCTCAAGGGCTCAGACGGGCGTGGAACCGACTGATCGGTGTTCATGGTCTCTGACCGACCAAACACCCTCATGTTTCAGGTTTTCCTGACGCGGTGCAAGAAGACCTCTGACTGATATTTCAAGTCCCTTTCCCTACGGGCCGTGATTCTTTATGTAGCCTACAGCCAGTCCTTCGGGTCCTTATGCCTTCTAACCGGGCATTTGATCGTCGGTTCCGGTGGGCTTACCGGGCCTTTTTTCGGGCCCCATCGAATACTCCCCTTGGTCGGCTTGGGGGCCCGTGCGATCACAGGACCCTCTGTAGGCGCTATGGATCCCTGACAGATGCGGGGCCCCGGCCAGTGTAAACTGATGGTAGTACTGGTGGTACCTCACCGACATAAGGCCTATATCGACTCAGTGGGTCCCCGATCGGCGCAAAGGGCCCTCTGAAAGTTATTTGAGGATCCGTCTTCGCAGGGGGGGGGGGGGGGAGGGGGGCTAAATAAGATTCCGACCAGCCCTTTATGTCCTTGGACTTTCCAATCGCTCCCTTGATCGTCGGACCCGTTGGACCCTCCAAGCATTTCAGGCCCACTCGGACACTGCCTCTGGCCGGCTCGGGCCCCTTGACAACACAGGGGGCCTGTTACGGGCTGTAGGGCTCCGAGCAATGTAAATAGCTGGCTCCCGCTTCATCCCTGCTTGGGAAATGGGCTCTTAGACCCATTCCACCAAGGAACCGAATGCGTTAATGGTGGTGTCTGACCAAAATATAAGCTCTTATCGACTCAGTGGGCCCTTTATCAGCACGCAGAGCGCTCTGGTTGGCATTGGAGTGCCCGGCCCTGCGGGCCGGGGCCCCTGAAAAGGACCTCCGACCGGCCTTTCGGGCTCTTTGGTCGTCAAATCGGGTCATTAATCGTAAGTTCCGAGGGCCTTTGAGCCCCTCAGACCCAGGGGGCGCGTTTCTCCTGTGCCCCCTGCATGCGCTAATGCCACAGGCCATTAGCACAGATCAATGCACTTTGTTTCTTTCTGAAACCTGGAAACCCATTTCTCAAGCAAAACCAACGCCGGGGCTCGCGACTTGCACTGGCTTGTCTTTCGAACAGTTGCCCCTGTATCGGTCATGAGACCACAGTGCCTAACAGGGGTCATGTGTCTGCAAGCGGCCCGAGTCCGCCACGGGTTTTGTTTAAGCAGGTCGTGAGAGGTGCCAAAGGGCCCCTCAGGAGCAAAGATCAAGGGCCTGGTAGGAAGGCTGATGGGGCCGAAGGGCCTAAAGAAGCGATCGTAGGTCACAATAAGAGCATTCCCCCATTCCCGCTCGAAGAGCCCTGGGCTCAAATGTCTTGGGTCCATCTCCCAAGCACGAGCAATGCCGAGCCCGCTATTTGCATTGATCGAGGCCCTGCAACAATGAGGGTGGGTCGAGGCCCTGCAACAATGAGGGTGTCTGCCAGGAGGCCACGATACCTAACAGGGGGTTCTGTGTCGACAAGGGACCCCGAGTCGGCCAGAGGGACATTTGCTAAACTGGGACAGTGACGGGACCCCGAATGTCAGAGGGTCCCTTGTGTTGGTCGGGGCAACAACACAATATGTCTTCAGCTTCCACCTTGCCTCATTGTGTGCTAGCTTGCTAGGTCTAGACATTCTGAATGTCCCGCAAAGAGTCAGATGTCAGTGCTCTTCAAGCTTTATTTTAACGCCCCTCGAGTCGCGAGTACTATGGTGGCTTGGTCCACAATTTGCATGCAGTTGTTTGATCATTTAGCCTAAATCTGTGCCAACTTGGTAAGAAAATGACAAAGTGACCGGGTGATTTCGAATTGGAATGGATGCTACACTTAACTGCACTTCCGATGCACGTGCTAGATATTTAACACAACTGGCAGGTGGACTAAGCTACGCATTGTTTGGGTCCATAAAAGCCATGCAGCCGGCGCTGTGCCTTTCTCACTGTTAGGGCTATTGTCACACTCAGGCTTTAATTTGTCACCGGGATGCGAGCAAGCCCGCCTGACGCTCGGCGGATGAAGATACATGCCCAGCACCAAGCTAACCACGTGCACTAGCGTCGGGAACCGTTTGCATACTGCGCCAGGTGTCTCAGCTCTTGCGGAGTACTTGGGACCTGCAGCACGTCCAGACGGAGGGTATCTTCAGCCAATAGTAACTCCGTCACTCAGCTTAGCGTGTCAGCTAGCATCAACTGGTCAAGGGTCGATGGAGGGACTGCCTAGCGTTGCCAAAACTGCCGCACTACACTCCAACAGCTGGAAGATCTATGCATTCGTTCAACATACCATGAACATCCCCTGCCTTTAAACAATACGCTGGCAGGGTCGATGCGTGGGTTCTCGTTCGATGACGGCATCATCCATGCTGCACTCCGGGTGCTGAAGTCGACGGTGGAGACGATAGACATGCTGAAGTTTATCCCCTGCTTCCACGTTAACAAGAGGACAATGTACGGCCGACAGTCGTATTGACTAAAGCCAAACATGTTGTCAAACAAGCACTATCGATGTTGATTGATCCGATTTGAATATTGCTAGCATGGAAGATGAGTAGCCAAAAGGCTATAAACATGCTTGTGGTGCGCTCGACTGTATCTGACTTAAGACTTAAACAATCCTTATCCGCCATTTGCTAGGCAAAGGTGCAGTTGACCGTACTTTTCGTCATTATTTTCCTATGCAACATGAAACTAGCAGCCGTCAGGGCCCAGCTCGGGCAAATCACTAGGCCCCAGTGCGTATTGATTTGGCTGTTCCGTTAGATGGAGCCTCGCGGATGTGCCTGACCGGGTCTGGGTCGGGGGTATTGTCGACGAGCTTGGGGCACCTTAGCTTCTTCCGTTGTTATACCCGACCGGTTCTGAAAAAAACACATCTTCCACGCTGGCATCCTGTGGGATGCTGATGTCCTAAATGAACGAATAAACAAACATCTCAGTCAGGAAGGTGAGAAATATGCGTACACTCGATACGCAGTCGTGCGACACCGGTATGCGGCCATGTTGTCCCATCGGGTGATCTTCCCGTTCGGTGTCTATCTATGTGCCATCTGGGGCCTAGATGTTTGATGGATCCGCTCGGGGTGGCTACTGGAGGGCGGAAGCCCTCCCTTGTGTTGAAAAAATGAACTGATGACCCGGGGTGCAGTTTTGAGAACATCTGGCGGTTTCTAATTCAGAGATAATTCATTACGCCGAGCGCTTCTTTGGCGTAAAACGAGGTGGATCGCCCTCGAAAAGCTTTCGTCCTGGGTCCTATACTACCGCCTCTGTTCTTGAATTGCTCCTTTTTCAGATTTATCTTGATTTTACTCATCATTCCACCCAACGAACGTGCTGTAATGTGTGCGATTAGTCCTTACCCTTTCCACATTTGGGGCCTCCCGGACGTTTTAGGTGTACCCCCTTGACGTCACAAAGGATCTTCGGTGACGAATGCACAGCCGCGACGGTACTCTGCTTGGTTTATACCGCCTTGATCACGCCCGCATCAAATGACGGCGTTCTTGGCGCGACATCCTGTTGTAACCGCTGTCGATGCCCTTTACACGAGTGTTGCCGGGAAGCGGTCTGTTGTGCGGTCGGGTAGCAATTTCCGTAATATTTCCGCATTGATAGCGAATTATCAGCTATCTAGAAGAAGAATGGACGCGGATGAAAGCTCGATTAGTGAGTATAATTAATTCAGAACCGTTGCGCTTGGTTCTTAAAGCTGTGCGCTGGGCTGCGCTTTCGCGAAAGTCTCTGAGGATGAGCTCTGCTCGGAATATTGAATGCTGTCGATCGAATTGCCATTTAGTACTACAGCATTGTCTTTCAGTACCTCCCGGTGAATCAAAAATTTGAACTCAAGATGTAAGAACTACAAATGGGTAGGACAAAAAGGGAACTGAGGGCCTTTTGTATATCTGTGCGACTGTTGTCTCTTCATCTGTGTTGCCAGTTAGAGAGCAATAATTTGTCATACAGTATTGGGCATGACAGCAAGCAGATGCTGTTTCAGTTGTCACTGAAGTAAAAACCTGCAAGTGAAATTTACATGGATAGTTACATGCAATGATTCATGATTTGTATGCTACTGCTTCAGAATACCATGTCTTATTTTCTCAAATTGATGCAATGTAATTATGGTGGCATGATAGTATTAACACACTACATCAACCACCTAGGTGCAGCTGCCACCATGCACAATGTGCAATGAGTATATTTTCTTTTTGGCAGAGTACATTAATGACATGTCACTTTATATTTTGTTCAAAGAGGCCCAGAGGGGCCCAGGGTGGCCCAACCTAAAGAACTTTCTAAAGGCCTGTTAGAGGTCATATGGGCTGGAATGACTGGCTGTAGGTTGCAAAGATTTGTGGCCTATAGGTCTGACCAGAAATATCATTCAGAGATCCTCTTGCACCATTTGAGGACCCCAGAGGCAATGCAGGTTTCTAAGTCAGCCAGAGACCACAAAAGCCAAACAGTTGGCTCTCTGTCAGTGTGAATCCTGGAGGCCCATTTTCTGCACAGGTGCAAGGCTGGGCTGGGGGAAGATTTGTATTAGTCTGGGTCCCTGAAACAGTGGTTGAGGCCCGTGTGTCTGTCAGGGTACTGCAGTGTAAAAAAGGATGTCATGTGTTGGCTACTGGCCCTTCGTCAGTCAGCGGCTTTTTGTGAGGAGATCCCAAGAGGAGCTGGAGGGGCCTCTTGGGACTAAAGATGAAGGGTGTGAGTGGACCCAGGCTCACCCCACCCCCCAATTGTAATGCCATAACCTGAAATGTCAGTCAGAGGGCTTCCATAAGGGCTCTTTTTAGGGTTCTCTGTTCCTATTACATAGGACTCTGATATGGTGCCAGTCAGGTCCCTATCCATCTGAGCCCTTGAGCAGGAGTGCTTCCTAAGCAGGAGTGAGGCCAGGGATTTCCAATGTTCAGGGTCCCTGACACTGTAAGTGGCTGCTGTGTTGGTTGAGGGCCACAGTGCCTTGCATGGACTCAAACAGGGGCTGAAGAGTCTCTTGAGACCAGAGATCAAAGGTCCTATTGGAAGGCTGAGTGGCACAAAGGGCTGGCTGTAGGTCACTTTAGGGACCCCCGCCCGCAGGGCTGTGATCTCAAATGTCAGTTACAAGGTCCCTTGTACCGATTGGGGACCCTGAAACAGAGCTTTCCTCTGTTTCACCCAGAGATCACCAACGCAGAGTGGTCGACTCCTTTTCGGTCTGAGCTCTGGGGCCGCATTCCCGGGAAGGGGCACGGCCGGGCCCGCGATTCACATTGGTCAGGACCCTTGCAACATTGTCAGCTGCTGTGCCGTTCAGGGGCGCGCAGTGCTTAGCAAGAAATTCTGTGTCGGCAACGAGCCTCAAGTCAGTTGGGAGGATTTGCTCAACAGGGACGGGGATGGGACCCCGAGGATAGAGGGCCTCTTGCGTCGCTTGAGGTTCTGACAGTGCAAGGAAGCATGAAAGTGTACGACGATTGTTCACATTGAGACAGTGGAAGGGTCCTGTGCCAGTCAGGACCCCCAGTGCCAAACGGTGGGCTCTCCGACCCAATTCCAGCATGGGCCCGTTAAGCCGAGGTAGAGGCTATGTGCCAATTATTGGACCACCTGCGGCGGTCAGGGATGTTGCGTCAGTGAGGATTGCTGCATCGAACCGGGATCAACCGTGGTCTGCGTGAGTCAGAAGGCCTCCCGCGTCAGGGAGAGGACCAATATAATCTACCCTCCAATGGCATCCGGACCGGCCGGGGATCCTGTCGCGTATCCACAGAATGACGGTCGGAAAACACCCCGCGGTGGGACGGGATAGCTCTTCACCCTCGACCGGGGACAGTAATATGCCCCCAGTGCTCTTCTTAAGGGACCCCTTTCCCCGGACAAAAATAAGGGGTCTCATTAGTGTTGAGTTAAGTGTGTCGATGTAAGTTCAAAAAACAAATGAGACCATCCCGTGTCTGCCAGGGAACGTGTCTCCTTTTGTTGAATTGACTAATGAAACAAATTATTCAAGGGTTTGAGCCTGCATTCCCGCAGTCCTAGAAGCGAGGACAGCGATGGCCTGGGTTACAGTTTCTGTCAAACCGGACGGCATTGGCCGCTACAAGTAACACCAGGCGGCGGTGCCGTGCACGCGAGAGCGACCGTCATGGAATAATGCCTCCAAACGTCTCAGAAAATTTTTTCGTACCGTTCAAGGATTAGGCTGGGCGTTTTTCTTACAGGTTTGGGGCTGTCTCCTGGACAGATCAACAGCTACAGTAGCACAAAAAAATAGAGATTGTACCTGTGCTCTTCCAGTTCTGCCAACAGATCATAGCACTTCTTCGCGTTTCTCTAAAGACCAAGTCGCTCAATTCATCAGTCTAAAACTCGCACAGGTGAAATATACGCCCAGCTACCTTCTACATGAACGGTTTGATGTCATACAGAGTTCAAAGGTACTTCTTTCAAATGCATCCTTTGCGTCTACCCGTTAGTCACTACTTAGTATTATCGACGGGGTCGACGCTGCGCGGCTTGTGGAGACTGCAACGCCCGGCACCGAGGTTTTTGTTGCCATGATTTGCGAGCTCGCATGCTCAAAAATATGTTGCATAATTTGTATCGCTTATCAGTTCGACTGAATGTTGAACTTTTTAAAACAAATATGGGTTGACGATATTAATACAAATTGTTGACCCATCCCGACCTGCATCCGCGAGGTCCGTAACATCTCTACAGCCCAGATAAAGATTCTGACAAAGCTTTTGACTTCCACCGGTTTTGAAAGAGTCCACTGGACCATTGTTAAATGAAGAGCGCTGGCAATTTATGTTATGCAGTCGTTTAACGCATAATTTCTCCAGTTGATTGGAAGGTTAAAAATGAAAATGTCAAAGAAAACAGCCTCATTGATAAATGTGCCATGCTCGGCATTTTTTTGCCCTTTGTCAAAACCTGTGCCTTCCCCTTGCCAAGGCTCTGGTGGCGCGGCAGATACCAATGTATATGTATGTATGCCACATCATCAGCATGCTCAGGGCAGCAGTCTAGTTATATCCCAATATTTATGGGGTGTATAAATAATTGGCCTCAAATTAGCCATTTCCTAACAGGCATTTACAGCTGTTCAGTAGACTTGCTACAATGTGACATACTACTTTGTATTTGTTGTCTGTTGTACTGACTTGTTCGACACTGGCAGCGGACCATGACACCAGGGACCTCCACCTGGACTGAACCCCCTTGGGGGCGTAATGTGATGTGCTTACTGGTGATGGCTAGCCAGCGACATGTAGAATGTTGTGGACTGGTATGTTCAGAGCACATCGGCATGAACATACCAATTGCTCGATGACCATCTAAGTATGCACTATTCCCATTCTGTTGCAGAGACTTGGCTTAAGTTCTTCATGGATGCCAGCATACCAGCAGGGGTAGCCACAGAATATGCAATCTCATTCAGTGACAACAGGATGAGGCTGGACATGCTGCCTGATCTCAACAAGGACTACCTCAGGGATCTTAATATCACCATTTTGGGTGATGTAATTGCTATATTGAAACATGCCAAGTCTGTCAGCCAGCAGGTAATCAATAATGAATAGATATATCATTGTTGCAGTGCAATCAGATCCACACCAGCCATTGTGCTGACTTGCATGTCACCAGCCACACCAACTGGTGATGTCCACACCAGGCATTAACCTTGCACCTGGTAACTGTATGTGAATTAGTGATCTTGGACTTACTCAACACCAGGTAAAAATGCTGTAGCATGGTACACCAAAAGTGCATATGTTGTGCAGTATGGTGTCCCTTGATTTGTGCCGCAAGTTCATAACTGCTGACTTCATATTCACGCAGTATACTTTGCATTCAGAGTTGATACGGACCTAGTCTTTTTACTCTCCAGCAAGTGCATCATTTGTATCGCTGACTTTCACTTGCTCAGAGGTGTATAGCCCATTCCCCTGCCCACCTCCCCGCAGGAGTATACTGCCCGCAAGATGGGCCCCGGCGGGCGCGTCTCGCCCGACCCGCCGGCGGCGCGCGCCAAGCCGGCGCCGGCCTGCGTCGAGTCGCCGGCGGCGCGCATGGTGAAGCGCTTGGTGCGCAAGGAGCCGGCGTCGCAGCCGGCCGAGCCCACCACGCGCCGCAAGCGCGCCGCCGACCTTGCTGACGACGGTGGGTGATGGCCCGTGGAACGGGCTGGCGGCGCTGTGCCGGTGTGATGAGGGCCTGGCCACTAGGTAGGGCCCGTGGAACGGGCTGGCGGCGCTGTGCCGGTGTGATGAGGGCCTGGCCACTAGGTAGGGCCCGTGGACGGGCTGGCGGCGCTGTGCCGGTGTGATGAGGGCCTGGCCACTAGGTAGGGCCCGTGGAACGGGCTGGCGGCGCTGTGCCGGTGTGGTGAGGGCCTGGTCACTAGGAAAAGCTGACGATGGCAGTGGGTTGAGGTGGTGCTGATGGTGAGCAGCTGGTGATGGTGGCTGGCCTTAGTGAAGTCAGATCGGCTTGGTGGAGTTCGTTGGTGCATCCTCACATGCAGTGATGGCCGCTATGGGTTGCAATCATGCATCCGCTCATTTGTTCATTATTTAAAGGATGGACTTTGGTGTCACACATTTCATGTAGTGTAAATGGACCTGAAGGGAAAGGTATAACGATCTGCAATACACATTGTGCAATGTTTAATGCTGGAAACACCCGTCTGTCATCAGATCATAGCGCTGGTGACCAGCCGGCGCCTGCCAAGTTGCGGCTCGTGGCCTCGGGGCGTCTGGGCACACCACAGGCCAAGTCAGGTCAGTGGGTAGTCATCTAACATGCGTGACAACTCGTGTGAGTAATGAAACACAGCTTAAAAAGAAACAAGGAAAAACAGATGACTCACTCCTCATGTTCGATCACGTTGGGGATATTTAAACTGTGCAGTGGCCGTTTGTCGAGGCGCCGACAAATGCGCGGGTTGCGCTTACAACATGTGTGCTAGTTGTGGTAGATGTCACTGTGTCCTTCATACCCAGAAGCATCTAGTCTTGTTTCCAGCTACCGCTACTGATGATAATTTTGGTACTGACCAGCGCTTCGGCCGCTGAGGCCACTTCGCACTATGGTGCGAATGGTTTATGTCACTCTGTAAAAACATAACGCCGACCGACCACCGTTCGCCGGACAAGGCGGTAAGTCACATCCAGCCCGACCGCAGCCAAGAGCTGTCTGTATCCCGGCGTCGCTGGGTCCGGCCGTGCTGACCACTGTCGACCTGACTCGGTGACTACCGATCTCGCCGCAGCTCTGAATGGCAAAAAGACGGTATTTGACCGGCTGGGCGCCGACAGTCAGGTCACGTCCACCACCCCGGACAGCACGCGCTTCCACATCACCGGCCTGAGCGGGCCCGCCGCCACGCAGGTGAGACCACCGCAACCCTGGGACCTGGGACCGTAGGTGCGGGGCCGACCGCCGCCTTCGGGCACTGGGGCACTGAATTGGGGGCGGTGACATGTCTCGGGATCTAGAGGGAAGCCGTCTGATCGTCAAACAAACTGAACGCTACCCAACGGTTGGGAACAATCGTGCAGGACTTCGTGGGCTGAAACTGCATGCAACGTGACAGGACCTTGCTTGCGGACGAAATATTTTTGTTTTGCAGTAATTTAGTTTGGAATAAAGGTAGTTTTTTGTAGCTTGTTAGGATTCGGGTTGCTGTTGGATTCAGCTCAAATAGCCGCCTGAGCCGCCTCGTTCTCTTCTACCATAGTGCATCCGATATCCAATCTCGCCATGACGACCATTGCTCGACGGAGACTGTTGATGACTCGCGAACCATCGGCGCGTGCTGCCCGATACCGTGCTCACCGCCTCTGACCGCCACCCGCGCTGCCAGCGTGCGCCACTGCACGCCGAGGCGGCGGCGGTCGGCACGCCCCGCCATCGAGTCCGACTCGTCTCTGAGCCGAGGCCGGGGCCGCGACCAGGCCCCGGCCTGACGTACCGAGGTGTGCTGAAACCGGGCGGCGCCGGCGAGCGGCCCGAGCGGCCCGACCCCGGCCGCAAACCCGCCCTAGGTCAGTGCCGACGCCAGGCCGCCTGCAGACCTGGCGCCACCGGGAGAGGCGGGGCTTCAAACTTATTGGCGGGAACTCGTGCTGACGAATCGAATGGGTTCACCTATGACTCAACCCGTGACCTGCCGAAGGTTTAGACTTTGTAGTATATGTAATGCCGAATCAAAATGACGGTGACAAGTAAACAGTCTCGCCCCCCTTGGGCTACCTTTCGTGATGTCTTACTTGTTTCAAACAAGCTGATAGTTTTATTTGTTTAAAGACATTCCGTGCACAAAATGTACAGGCGCGCGGGGTTGATTCCCCATCCGCACCCACGAGACGGCACTTCTAAGCCCATCTCCTTTTCTCTGCAGTGACGTCGACGTTGGCCAGTGACCGGGAGCTATCGGCGGCCAGCGCGCGCGCCCGCGTCGGCTCGCCGGCCGCACGAGCCTCGCTCGGCGCCGCGGCTCGCGGCCCGGCCGCCGGCGTCAAGGCGCGCATGGCCACGTCTTCAGCAGCGAGTCGACCGGCAGCTGGCGCCGGCGCGGCCAGGGTGGTCTCGGCGGCGGCCCGGTCGGGCGTGCGGGCCCGACTGGGCGGCGGCCGGGCCGGCGTGCTCAGCCGGCTGGGCGCCGTCGCCCGGTAAGGCCGCCGCACGCACCAGTCAGGGGTGCGAGCTAGCGGACACGGCGGTGCCCTTTCTGGAGGGGCTGCGGCTGGGGCAGTGTAGTTGCGCTCGTGCTGTGGTGTGAAGTGTGGTGTGGTTGGTACCGCGCATGCTGACCGTACGTTTGGTGACGCCCCGCTTGGAATGTGTTGGGATCGCTGGGATCCATGAAGTTCGAAGCAGACTTGGCGACGTGTGGCGATTTTGACTGATGTGTTGAAATGGTGGGTGTTCACGACAGCGTTCTTTTGTGTGCGGTACTGCTGATCGTGCGTGTTGAACCACGATCAGGTATTGCGACAATCGCGTGAAACGCGTACTAGTACAAACGGCTACAAACTACATCGGCATTGGCGAAAGTCGAAGACAGAACGTCGCAAGTCGGCGTATACCGCACGTCGTCTTAAGTTAACTTACCTGCTCAGCAAAGTGCCCGACTTCACTGGAAGATGTACTTGTGTTTCATTGAACTAACAACGTGCATTCATAAGCGAATTATCATCTTGCGATGTGTTATTCGTCAAAAATGTATCTTTCAGCGACCGATACCTGGGCATGTTGTCCTGGTTGTCTTCCGAGGCGCAAAGGGTGGCTGGCTACAAATATCAGATCGTGACATACAAAATAATTCTGCTTCCCAGCTTCCGTGTCGGTAGCAAGCTTCCAATTTACGTGCTATTAAAGAACGATATTATGGTTCGCCCGGTCCGCCTGCTGGAATCGATCCATTGCAAGGTCCAAGGCAGGCTGCAACGCACCATACCATCATCAGTGCCTCTGGTGTATTGCAACTTCGGCGAGCACGACGCCTGACGTAGACCGTTCTCGCAACAAAGTAGCATAACAAACCCGACCCAGTATGAAGACTGGACGGTCATGCCTACCACCAACCACGTCATGAGAAAATATTCACGACGGCGAATTCTACCATGTTCCGTAGCGTATTTGGAAGACAAGATGCAACCAGGTTCAGTCGCGCAATGCACTAAAAAAGAAAAAAAAACGCCGCAACTGGCCCTCCGTACCCCCTCCTGCCGCTCTAAATAGAACGCAGGCAATGCTGGTACCAGGTAACAATCAGCGAAATACATATGTATCAACTGGCGGTAGTAATCCTTTCTACCTGAATACTCCCAGAGTATTGAGGATATGAGAGTTACTTTGATTTGCAACCCTGTATTCTCTGCTCCTTATGTCGAGAGCACATACATGACCACCATGTCTATCCTAAAAGTCATGAAGTTTGTAAAAGGCTGTACACGTAATCGTGTCCGTGGTAAACGACTTACAAGACAGAATGCTTGCGGTTTGGCTCAATGTGATCAACCTGCGCAGCGGCAAGCACACTATTTTCACTGCCATCTGGCCGGAATAACAGGGACACTCCGGCCTCATTTTCAAGATTTAATCGGAACCTTTCGAATGGCTGGATTGCTGGGATCACAGCTCATTAAGTGGTGATTGACCCGGCCCCGACCCCTACCATTTGCTAGCTCAATTCCAAATCAGCGCAACCTGGCTGCGAAAGTTTAACGTGCCGGAATGCCCGGTATCTATTACCCTGGCAACGCCCGGCACGGTCCGTCCTGTCCTCTGACGTCAAATGACCATTGGCGCGGCCGCTGCCACCGGCCGCAGGCCCTACCTGTCAGGGACATATAGCGTGTGCCCAAAGCGACCTGGACCCATACCGCCACGGTTGAGTGGATCGAAGGGTAGACGCTTTAACCAACTGATCCATCGGGCCGGACCTTTCATCACCGTTGTATCCGACACCGGATATCACATTAAATGTAGCCTTGAGTACCGTCTACTTTCGCCCAGCTCACCCCACCGCTGCACACGCTACCAATGCTATGCGTGTTAGGCACAACGCTGAGTGGTTAATCTCCGCTAAACCATCTAGCTGTAGCTGCTAACAAGCCATTCAGGTCTGCAGCTGAATTCAGCTTACCGCAAATCCCACCTAAATCATCTCATGTAGCTAATTCCTGCAGGACACTATGCTGAGCTGACATCTGGCAGGTTCATGTACCCAAGCTGCCGAGCTCCGCACATCTCAGCTGACACTGCTGTTCAGCGGCCCAGACTATCTGTAATCCTCAGTTAACCCCACCCAGCTGGGACCGTTGCTGAACACAGCATAACAGCCGGGTTCTCCCGGCTGGGCGCAGCTACGCTGGCATGCTGCTGAGCTCAACCCGGCTCGACAGACTCTGCTGTTGAGCCGAGCCCATGCCAGCTGAAGCCGGCGCTCAGCCTAGCTCAGCTGGAGCTGCTGTCACCCTCAGCTCAGCTCAGCTGGAACTGCTGCTGCGCGCGGTCGGCGATCAGCTCGGCGATGGCCAGGGAGGAGGTGGCCGCCGGCGAGGGCGCGTTGCGCACGTGCAGCAGGCGGCGCCACACACCCGTCTCGCCGCTGTCGAACACAAAGTCGTCCACCAAGTTGCCGTCGGCGTCCAGCGCCTGCGCGCGTACCCCGGCCGGACCCCTGGGGGGCGTGGAGGCGGACCGTCGGACAGGCAACGGCAGTTTGGACAGCCTGTACGCCCACAGAGCACGTTCAACGACAGAGCATTCGCTTACGAATAAGGTGCACGGCCATTTCTAACCAGTAAGTAGTGGCATGCCACAAGTTGTAACCATGAAAGCTGGAACGACTACGGGAGACTTTGGCAACATAACTGGTCGTCGAGTCGGACACCTGGGCCCAGTTCCTCATTCAATTACGGCAAAAGCTCTTCCCATAAAGGCGACGTCATAGATACGTACCAATGAAGAACACCTTTAACTCAAAATATGGTCAAAAGTGAAAAATATGGCCAAAATACAACCTGGTGATTCAACCCCGTGGAGATATATAGCATGCAGGAATGGCGCACTTCAAAATTATTGGCACATCAGTTATTAGCAAGTGATCTGTGGCTAACCATGATTATCGATCACATCATTTACAAGCGATCGAGACCTGCCTGTTCACCGGACTTACCAAGGCCGTCAGCAGCCCATCGACCGTTACTATGCGTTGTTATGTCAGAACCAATTACATTTAACAAACCCATCTAATTCGTCCCGAGGCCAAGTAGAGAATGGGCTTGGGCCGTGACGTCACAGGTGAGGAATATACTTCCAACGGCCAATGAACAACGAGCCTGACGACAGCTGGGCTACTTTCTGGCCGTGGCGTCATACCTAGTGATGTCGGCAGCAGTGATATCAGGCACGTACTGCCGGAGCCTGGCTAGCTGGAGCCGGATGAAAATAGAGCGCATGATCTCTCCTGTGCCATAGCCCAGGTTCCTAAGTGCGATCTTGCGGAATCCCCGGTACCTGAAAAGAAGCAACACCGTGTCAGCCTGCTGCAAGTAAGACAAGACTATCAGACTGCTGCAGGCAAGACAAGACTACGTCATCATGCTGCAAGCAAGACAAGACTACACCAGCTAACTGCAAGCAAGACAATACTATGCCAGCCCGCGGCAAGCAGGGGCGCGGTGCACCGATATTCGGAACCAACAGCTAGGCAATGAATGAACCTATTTTCGGTCGCTGGTTCCAAACACATGTACACACGAGTCGCGGTTACTCTTCGCTCTGTTGCTGATCCGTTGTAGCGTCAGCAGACCCTTGATGAGATCTGCTAAGGGGTGGATAACATCTCCCGGCGCCGGCAGCGCCACCGCGCAGGGCCGGCGCCGGCAGTGCCACCGCAGGGCCGGCGCCCAAAGCGCCGCCGCAGGGCCGGCGCCCGAAGCGCCGCCGCAGGGGCCGGCGCCCGAAGCGCCGCCGCAGGGCCGGCGCCCAAAGCGCCGCCGCAGGGCCGGCGCCCGAAGCGCCGCCGCAGGCCCGGCGCCCCGAATCGCCACCGCACGGCCGGCGCCCGAAGCGCCGCCGCAGGGCCGGCGCCCGCAGCGCCACCGCAGGGCCGGCGCCCGAAGCGCCACCGCAGGGCCGCCGCCTGAAGCGCCACAGCCCGGCCACCGCCCGAAGCGCCACCGCACGGCCGGCGCCCCGAAGCGCCGCCGCAGGGCCGGCGCCCGCTCACCGCAGAGACTCGGCAAGGTCCCGGAACGATACGTCAGCCCACCGGTAGCCCTCGCGCTTGGCAGCCAGCACGGCGTTGGGGCCGAGCCAGATGGCGCCGTCCATGCGAGGCGTGAAGTGCACACCCAGGAACGGGAAGCGCGGGTTCGGCACCTGCAGTTGAGGGGGTAGGTCAGCGGGAGACTGGCACCGGTCGCAGTTGGTCACAGGGCCGAGTGATATCCGAGATGGTGTATTCTTTAGAAATGGACACTAAACATGGGACTAACAGCACCACATTTACAAGACTTAAGCTCTAATATCACATACACTCTTAGATAACATCAAGAATAACACTATGGGTCCATAAGGTTCATTTACATCCAAATGCTATACAATCCTCTCATGAATATCTAAGCATCTGGTCGACATCTAAATGACATGACATTAAGGCCGTCATCTGAGCGTGTCAATCATACCAGACAGACATCAAACATGAGCAGCAAACACATTGATTTCCTTGCATGAGCGCTGCGCGGGCTGTCCGTCCAGCCCAATACCGTCCGTCCGGCCCGACAAACCTAGAAGCTGTGCCACTGACCGGGTAGATATTGCCACGCACGAGATGCGCCTTCTCGGGCCGCAGCAGCAGGTACTCTCCCCGGAAGGGTACGACACGCGGCTCGGCCGGGCAGCCGGAGAGCGCAGCCAGTCGGTCGGCGTGCAGGCCGCCGCAGGTCAGCACGAACCGCGCGCGCACCGGGCTCTGGCGGAGTCAGGTGGCACAGCAGTTACCGCTCCGGCCGGCCACACAGTCTGAAGCGGCGCAGCGTATGTCAATGCGCGCGCGTTCGTACACACTGAACTTCCCTGTAGTGCAAATAGGAGGCGAATCTGATCTGAACGTATGTAGGGGACGGTACGTTTATGCAGCCTGAAAGCACGACATTTCAGAGTTTGTGCCATTTTTCAGCCGATGGTCCAGAAGCATTGCAGTTATTTTGGATCTGGGAGACATGACACGGGATAGTACCAATGGGGGTAGAATTATATCGTGCAATCATGACATCATCAGAATAGAATCATCAGTGCAGGGAGAATCCTCACACTTCACACAAAGTGCCAAGTGCCGATGAAGTGAAGCAACCGCCGGGGTGTCCGCCGTTACCACAGTTACACTTGCCTGTCCCTTGCACCTCGACCAGCAGCGGGTGGTCAGCGCCGGCCTCGGCCTCCCTGAAGCCGGTAACCTCTGCATTGAGCCGCACATGGCCACCATGCCTCTGGAAGTCGCTGCCATACTCCCGTTGTCACTAAGCCCCAGTCCACGATTCCCGTGTGTGGCGACCAAGATGGCCCGCACGCCCTGTGGACATCACACACCGTGACTGACATTTCTGGTGTATACTGGCCAGTTCAACAGCAGTCAAGCCATGAACTCAAGGGTGGGGTATACCAGCCAGACTTAAGTTTGACCCAAGCTGAGTCAAGGAATTGGCTCATGAGCCAGTAGCTTTGGGGTGAGCTGCGACCTGAGTTGGCATGTCAGGAAAAATGCAGCTTTCAGCCAAGAGCTGAATCAAACTCTACATAAATTTCCTGAGCTGAATCATGAGCTGATCATTTGTAACAATGCTGTACCAGTGAGTCATATAGTTGAACTTCAGATATGGGTTGTTCACCTTGCAAAATGGTTCAATTTCTCGCATGCCATCAGCATCCACCATTTTCAGTCAGGCACACCATTTTGCTGTCCTCGGATGAACAAATCCTCCAGACTTGCCACCTCACTCTGGTTAACAGCTACAATCAGCTTGCCAACCTGAAATCAAGATACATGCAATGTGACCAATAACCATAAGGCAAAGTAAATCACCATGTTTGTTGCCAGTGCAAATGCATAGTACATTCAAAGGTTTTGCACAATGGTGTGATTTCCCAAGTTCATGTGATTTGTATGCATAACATAGCCACACAAATACTATGCCACTTATTTCCTAATTATTGATATCAATATATGGATCATCATCCAATAATGTTACCTTTTTGTATGGAATGTTGTTCTTATCACAGTAGGCATATGCCATTTGCATGCCTTTCACACAAAGTTTTGCCTTAAGAGATCCTGGCTTGTAGTAAATTCCAGCATGGAGTACTCCACTGTTGTGTCCAGACTGGTGGAATGCTGCAGGCAAAACCCTGCTCAATATCACAAATTTAACTGCTAATAAAGCAAGATGATGTTATCATTCACAGTAAATGTCACATTTCTACAAAAGGAAAACTATACAAGAAGCTTGTCCAGGCCTCAATACTTTTAAAGATATTCCATTTCAAGCAAAAGCAGAGTGGAAGAATGGCTACATTTGTAGTTAAAACCAGTGACATTTTTTGTTACCAATGATTGAGGCTTACAGGTGAACAGACAGCCTGGGTTTTTTGCATGTTACCTAGCCCCTAGGGCAAAGTCAGACAAAATGCTGGCAAATGATGACTGACAAATGATGCACATGCAAACATGTTCTAAGCTGGACATATAATAATAATACCTAGTTCAGACTCCTTCTCCAGGATCAGTACTTGAAGACCTGGATGCCTCTTCTTGATTTCCAAAGCAGATGCTGCACCTACAATACCACCACCAACAACAGCAATATCTACCACATCATGATAGTCCCTTGAACTGGATGGTTTGCAGCCCAAAGAACTCAAGTAACAAGAGGGCTTTAAAAGCCTGCAGCTCTTGCTTGCTAGGTGAAACAGCATGGTAGTGGTCTGCAGGAAAAATGAGAGCAACATAAGCATCAAATTGGCACCTTTGTCAGAATTGTTAAACTACACATTTATTTGATGCCATGCAGCATATCAGTAATGCTTTACTAACATGGTGTGTACACACCTTGATGATGATAAATGGCATCATGAACTACGCTGGCTACCTCATGATTTCACGTCTTGCCAGTTTAATCACACTGTGAGTTAAGGTGGTATTAAGGTAGCATCAAACATTTGGTTTTGGATCTTGGTGAAAACAGGAACCTAAACCTGTGGCTTGTCATGCAAACAAAATAACACATGTGAATTTGCACTGTGTACAAAACTAGTACTGTAGGACGTCCTTTACAGAAGTTGACAACAAAAGCCACCCACTAGCTGGTCTCAGCAACTGCGCGAGACTATTGACTATTGCAGCTTGTAATTCTGAAAGTTACCGACCACCTAAGTAAGTGCTCCCTTTCATAGGGTATGTTTACACCCACTGTACTTATGCAAGCTAAGGAGCAGATAAAACGTGAAAAGGTCGGATACTCGGAATGCTGCAGAAATGGCGCGAACAGCAGGGCAGTCTTCAACGAAGGAACTAAGCGGCCGGTCAAACCTGTTGACCCAATCCTCCAATGGGCTTAGCCCCTTGCTTAGCCCCCATTACTGGATAATGTTTGGTGGCTTCGACTGTCTTTGATGACGTCTGACCTGACCCAAGTACACCACGTTCTGGACAGGGTAAACCAATGACTGAAGATTAATTGACGTAGCACGTCGATTGGCAGTTGTTTTGTGCCGATCGGCCTGAGGGCAAATATTGTTTGCAGCCAATTTTGGTGATTCGGAACGTTTTTGGTGGCCTTCAACCTGGCACGCTAGTCATCATATTCCGGAAAAGGTAGTATATCTACTATGGCATATCGCGTTTCGAAGTTTTTACGGTAACCGGTTCCATAGGTAAGGAGCAGTGGTCGTCTGCAATTCTTTCCAATTGTTAGTATTGTTGGTGACTAACCGCCCGAAGGTCACCGTGTCTTTTTAAGGTACGTAATGGACTTCGCGACATCGAATGGGAGAGGTTTAATGTCGACCGGTGCCGTGAGCTCGGAGCATGGGTTGTCAAAATGCTGAACCGAACATTCAGTCTTCTTCCCGCCCAACCTTGGTCCATGGGCGACGCTCGTGCCCCGCTTGTTGTGATTGTTTTTTCCGCGTAATCTGAGGCAATTTTGGCTAGTACGTTGGGCAGCGTCCTCACGCGTGCGACGAAGTGTTGGGGTTTTACGGTAATTGTACATTATTCTCGGAGATTATGCGGTGTTTTGTTTGTGATTAGCATGTTTTCACGTTCGAAGGCTGTTCACTGTTGCTGAGTTGTGCTGGGCTTGGCTCATGTGATGATAAATTATTCCTGGTTATTCCATTATGCTGCGAATTTGTGTAATCTTTGCACTGTTTTGTGACTTACTGCTTCTACTGGCAGCTTTGCAGCTGGATGCTTTATAATGTAACATTTCAGAGGGAATCTACAATCCAGTGGGCAGCTTGAGCACCCTGTGCCCTTTTGTTAAACATGAGCTCATTGTATATGCTGCATTGTCAGAGGTTATATCCAATATGCTGGTCAGATTTCTTTTATTTCTTTTTTTCAAACAGCCATCCATTATTTAGCTGTCAAGTGACACTTCATGTCTGCTCTCCCACATTCCAGCCAGCCAAACATGCTGGATTGATATATCTGGTAGAGAACTCTGACACATTGCCAGTACCAAGGCTTTCTATTAGCCAGTATCCAGTCCTGTTTTTATTATTAAGTCAGACCAAGTCTGGTTGCTGGTCAGCAAGAACATAGGTTACTAACTTATGGAAGTTGCATATGTAAAAAAATCTGGTATTATGGTCCATGGCATTGTTCTGGATAAAGTAAATGGTATATTTGATATTTGATTGCATATTCTTAGTCCATGGAAATTTGTTGGAAAATGTTTCATTTGCTATTCTTAAAAGGCCAGTAAAAAGTCCTTATGTTATCCCATGCTAGCCAATTTTTGGAATTAACCCTGATGTCTTAAGAGGCATATTGAGGAGCTTAAATAAAGAAGGTGGAACCACTAGTAATGATGTAAACTGATCATTCTTTTTGTTTTAACTATGTGAAACAGGGATGCATACCAAATAAGTTCAATGCAAAATTGACATTTCACCACTCACCAAGCACAAGTATGCATGCAAAAGGTTCAAAGATATGACTGGTCTCTGGTGATTGGACATACTGACTTATGTTTCTGCTATTTCACAGTTAACCATAATTATCAGGTGAGATATTGTGTAGCTTTGACATTATGAGATGTAATGTATGAAATGATTTTATGTTATTGATGGTATTGCTGTGATATTGGTTGAAATTTGTACCCTGTTTTGGAACTTTTGATTGACTAAGGGGTTTTGCTTAAGCCTCATTGTAATGCTAAATCATATCGATGGTACTCATTATTTTGTGCAGTGCTCAATGAGCACATAGCAATGAGCACTGCTCATCTTCAAGAGCATTTCAGTTGAGTTCAGAAGCAGATGTATGTAACATTTGCAATAAACACTTTGTGTGATATCATTCAGGTTTCAGGCAGATATATGGATGCATTTCAAGCTCATACTGTATATTATTGGAGCAATGTCTAGATACTCATGCACTGAAGCTCAGGCATTTGTTTACTGCAAGTCAATCATAAACATAAATCTGTTTGTTATGTATTTGCTGTGATACCTTCTAAAAAACATTCTAACATGTTCCACAATATTTTCAGATATTTGGTGATCATTTCAAAATAGCTGAGCCATGGTTGGGAGCAATGGTGCAAATTCAGACCTGAACATCCCTGAAAGTGTCCAGGTGAGGAAATTAACTTAGGTCTAACTCAACATGATAGTGTTGTACACTGATACCAAGGTAATTTGGTGCCCACATAATTACCTGCTACAGTTTTTTGAGTCATTGTCATGTGAAAACTTATTGTCATATTATGAAAGTACATAAGCTTTTTAAACTTATCAGGCACATTATGCATGTTTGTAATCCTTGCTTCTAAAAGCACATTGTGTGTCCAAAATCTGTTGCCAACTCATCCCCATTATTCAAGCACTGGCCTATTGCTGATTCAAGTCCTCTGCTGATGTGCACAACCACCTAGCTCACTGTGCTGCCTTCAATCTCTTGTCCCACCAGCACTGATTACAAGGTCAGGACTTTGCTTCAAAATCTGACCTGTATGTTGAAGTGATCTGGCAATAGGCAGATTCCTCCAATGAGTGTTCCCCATTGTCCGAACACAAAGAAACTGGAGGCTGAACATAGCAGTGAACAATGAGCTCCAGCAAACTGTCTTCATGTCACAGGGCATCAATCCCTGCTTCAACTTTTCCATGCAGTCACAGTGCACCTACAAACCAAAGCTCATCCCACATAGGTACTTTTTGATGCATACATGTCTGAATCATTCTCAGCCTAACATTAGGCTTTAGGAGCATCACAATGGTAGTCAAGAACTCTGCTGTTGGCTGTTTGTGCTTTCATTGGGTTTCAGCAGTCAAGAGCTCTGCTGTTGGCTGTTTGTGCTTTCATTGGGTGTCAGCACACAATACAGGATTTTTAATGAAATGTTAAGGTAATTTGAAGGAATGAAATATTGGTGTTGATTGGGTGATTTTTACCAGTTCAGACTCTTAGTACAGACTCTTTTTACCAGTTCAGTGACAAAAAATCCTTGTCACCAAGCTGACTCAAATTGCTCTGTCTGGCCTGCCTTTGGCAATGCATGCTAGGGCTTGGCCCCCATACTGACCGCTCCTGCACCCGCGCCGGCAGAAGGCGGTGTCGGCCGAGAAGGCGGCCGAGAATGGCGCCAAGAAGTCGCGGCTGGACCTGCAGTCGCTGCCGACGCGCCAGTACCTCGATCAGACGGTGGTGCCGGCCCTGCAGCAGGCTCTCTCTGTGCTCGCCAAGGAGAGGTGAGCCGGCCCGGCGGCCCCCCCCCCCCCCCCAGACGGCGCTGCCCCGCTGACGATCGGAATGTGTGTTAGCTGCGATTGCGGACGTGGTGCGGGTGTGGTCGGTGGGGTGTGGTGCGGCACGATGCGGTGGGTGGGGTGCGGTGCGGTGCGGTTGGTGTGGTTTGGTGCAGTGCGGTGCGGTGCGGTGCGGTGCGGTGCGGTGCGGTGCGGTGTGTGGTGGTGGTGTGGTGTGGTGTGCTGTGCTGTGCCGTGTGGTGCCACACAGTGTGTGGGCGGTGCGGTGCGATGCCTGTAGTTGCGTCAGGTGGTGTGTTGTGACGCTACATGCTAGGTGCGTGAGAATCAAATGCTTGCTCTCCCGAACTTTGTTGCCTTGCACCGACAACTGGTAACTGATATGTAGTGGTATGCAGTGCGGGGAGTGGGCCGTTGAGGTAAATGTACCCTTTTGGGGCTGTGAAATGGACCAGAAATCCTGCCGGATGTGGAGTGAAGGTCACTGAGAATAGAGATCCATGCTTGGGAGTTACGTTACTGGTTAGCTATTGCATGCAGTCGAAATTATTTTTTGATTATTCCGCCCAGACTCCGTGGGTCAGTACCTCCGTTCCTGGAGGAAACAACAGCCAAGCTGCCAGAACAATGGCACATCTTTGCATAGCATGTGACACAGCCCACCAGTCTGGTCGCACCCGTCCACTTACGTCAGTCTCCTGACCCGCAGGCCACCGGACCCGATCGAGTTTCTGGCCACCTTCCTGCTGAAGAACAAGGCCCAGTACGACGGCACTTCCGGCGCCGGCCCCTCCTAAGGGGCGCAGGGCCCGGCGGGCGGGGCTCGATCTCACAGTCGCCGCGTGTTATGCAAGTACAAGTGTGGCTCGCGCCGCGTGCCGCCCGGCGGACCGCTTCCGTTGTGTGTAGGACAGGTGACTTCTTCCCTGGTGGACTGCCGGCAGCGGCTGTGGCTCGGAGAGCCGAGCAGACGGCGCGGTCCGCGAGCGGACGCGGGTTGTGAGCGGGTCGGCACGCTCGGGAGGCAGGTGCCGCCCGATGCGACCCCTGAGTATTGCGTGTGTTCTACGTGCGACCGTCTCCCCTCCCTTCCCCTCACGGGTGGGTCTGCGAAAGCAAGGCGCTGGTCGCGTTGCAGGTCACAATCTCTGGGCCGGCTCCGCACGTGCTGGGTCTCCGAAGCCCACATGTGTCACCCGGCTCACATGAGGCGTGGCTGGCCAGTAGGGCTGTTCGCTGTACTCGTGATCGGGCAGAGCCGGTGAGAGGCAGTGTCCGCCGACGGGTTGTCGACGCGCCGGCCGTGGGCGCGTGCTGAGCACACCCCTGCTGCAGTGGTGTGCTCGGCGCGCGGCTGCCTCCGGCTTGGTCACTGCGGACAACGGCTACACGGTTTTACTTTCTCGACGCGACATGGCCAAATTGTCGTACGTGCGGTTTTGATTATGCAACATGTTGTTTGATGCTTCTAGTGGCCTTGGTGTTTGTCATATACGTTCGGTCTTATGACGCCGGTATTTATCTCGGTTTTAGTAATAAATTGATTGTGTTTCTTGACGATTTTATTGCGTAGATGTCACCCGGAGTAATGGATCCGACGTGTGAAAATGATGGAAGAAATGGAAACGAGGCATGCTAATAAAACCGGAGAGTGGCACAAGGCT